CTCCAGGCAAGAGGACCGAAGAAGCACCTCAAGCGCGTCGCAGCGCCAAAGCACTGGATGCTGGACAAGCTCACAGGAGTCTTTGTAAGTAACAACTTCTAACAGTGTATTTATTGTTAATGTGTGGTTTTAATCTGGGATAACTGGGGTTTTAATGGTAGCTTTCAATGTTGGGGTCTTGTGTGTATATAGGATGCTTCGGTATGAACAGAGGCATTGAAAGCTAACTTCATTATTTGTCTTTCTAAGTAACATTTTCCTACAGTGTGTTCTTATATTCATTTTAATAGCCATCTTTTGTAAAACTGTAGCTGTTCATGTTAGGGTTTCATGTATGTTGATGGTCTTCATCTTCATGAACTGCAGCCGAGGCAGGGATTGCTCACTTGCAGTCTACTTTACCTCACTTGTTGATTACTGTATCCAACATGTACTTGTATTAAATTTATGTTAGCTTAAGACCAGTTTGTGCCTCAATAAGTCGATTTACTGCAGTCCTTAAAAGTGTTTCCTGATCTAATAACCATTAGTCAAAAAGACCTAATGGGAAACCTGGTCATCAGAAGTCTTAAAAGTGTTGGATTATTTGCTCCAAAAATAATAGATTACCTTTCATAACGGAGAACTATTGAATTTGGTTATCGTTGATTAAAAACACATGCTTCAAACTGAGGTTGTTTCCCTCACAATACCACAAGTACTTTTCTTGCTCCTGCTAGCATGCAACGTTTTCATCTAGGTGAAGTTAACGGCAATGCACTTCTAAATCTGCAATGTTAAGATGCAATTGTTGGACAAAATACCTCTGCAGTTTCTAGAATTATGCCATTAGCTTATTTTTCACCAACCTGATCACCAGCTGTCATTTGACATCACAGAATAAATCATTATAATGCAAATTCTTCACTTGAATGCTCTATTATCTATTTTAAGTTGAGAGGTTTTTGCAAGTTGGGCTTGAAATGTTTACAAAGCAGCCACTATTGTATGCAGAAGGGATACATGAGGTCTGATAAACGTTATATCACTTCTTAAAGGAAATGGTTGAGCTTCAGGTGCAATTATGTTTAAAAAACCTAATAGACAGTTGAAGGACCGTACACACAACCATCATTCAAGGTAATAATACAACTTAATGTTATGTTTCTCAGGCTCCTCGTCCTTCCACCGGTCCCCACAAGCTGAGGGAGTGTCTGCCCCTCATCATCTTCCTGAGGAATCGCCTGAAGTACGCCCTGACCGGAGATGAGGTGAAGAAGATCTGCATGCAGAGGTTCATCAAGATCGACGGCAAGGTCCGCACCGACATCACCTACCCCGCTGGATTCATGGGTGAGTTCACTCTTAAAAGTTATTCACAGCTCATATCTATGGGTGAGTTTTCGGAGATTCTTCAGAGCTTTCTGTCAATGTTTTTATTGGTTTTTACAACGCAATAATGACGTAGCACATGCATGACAAATACATAGTTACAAAGCAAACAGACAAAACACAGCTCAGTCTCAGACATGCATACTTATCAACGTATCACATTTATGATCAGAGGAGATTCATGAGGTTCCTTTAACAAGAAAGCCGACAATTCAGGTCCACGGAAATGTAAGTAAGACTGCCAGATTGTATAGGACTGGTCAGATTTGGCGTGTAAAACATTTGTGAGATTTTCTGTCTGTTAAGAATTATTAACATACTCTGCAGAATGGCTCTTTTGGCAAGTGTTCACGTTTCAGAGCTCATATCGGCTCTACGTTTTGTCTGTCAATGTTACATTACTCACATATTGTGCGTAATTGGTTAGTGTTAACATTTGGTTAAGTAGCTCTGGAAATGGTTTCTGTGGTGTTGCTGTTGGATGTGAAGCTGCTAACTTCTACAACGATGCATCTGTCAGTGATTAGGAGGAGCGATGATGATGATATTTTGGTTTTGATCAGCAATGAGTTGAAAATACACAACCAATCCTCTAAGAAGTTCTGAGCTCCAGATACAATCACCACTTGTGTTTTCAGGTCCTGTTAGACAAGTGGAACGTCTCCAAGTCAGTCATTAAGTTGCTTCATATTTGAGGCCATGTTTGCTTGAGCTTACATGTCATATTATTTTGTTAAGAAGTGGCTTTTCAGAGTTAAAAACTGCACATTTGACTGTTTTTTTCAGCCATGGTTGTCAGATCCAACACCATCTAGTTGGTTTTCTATACTGTCAAGCTTTTGTATTTTAAATGACTTTGGATTTGTGATGTGTCGACTATATTTAACAAGGCTATCATGGATTTCAGTCGACGTATATTAAAGGAAATAACTTGTTCTGGTTCAAGTGGTAACCCTTTTTTTTATTGGGATACAGCCATTTGGAAAAGGGCTAGTGATACCCAGACACCACAGAACAGAAGTGCAACGTAAACTTGTCCCACTTGGCTAGATTATAACCTGGGAGAGATTGAGATTCATATTGTCTTTGGGAAGATTTGGAAGCAAACATTTCTTTGCAAGTGCATGGCCTCAAACAGGAGTTAACGGTGCTTGCGGTCACGCCTCCACCCACCTTGCCGCTGGTCAGCAGCCTCCATGTGGAGGTGTGGAGTTTTAATTTCAGAATCCAAGGGGAAGCTGTCGATGACCGCTGTCTATTTATATATTACATCCACACTGATCAGTCTGCTACTCTGGGCCATTAGCAGGAGTAGAACAAGTTGATGGCTACTCTTTTTAAATGCTATTAGGCATTAACACGATGCACTTATTATCCAATCTTTTATTTTTTTACACAATTGACTAAATGTACACTATTTCAGATAAGTAAGTTAAGTTTTGCATTTTGGGAGACATGGTTTCCATATTCACTGTCACACTTTGACTGTTTTTGTATTGTATAAAATATTTGTTAGGGCTTTATGGTACTTGGTTTGTCATAGTTTTGTATTTGAAAGATATCTATTAACACGAGAAGTAGTTTTGATACACTGACAGGAGTAAAGATTTGATCAGTTTATTAAATTGCAATTGGCTGATCAGTGTTCCAGCGTTTAATCGTTTTGGCATTTGACTGACTTGTGTTAAATCCATAGAGTTTTTTTTTAAACCATGAATTCCTCGTGAGCAGTAGAGAAAGTGTGTAATCTAAAACCCGCTTGTCTCTGTTTATCCAGATGTGATCAGCATCGAGAAGACCGGAGAGCACTTCCGTCTGATCTACGATGTGAAGGGACGTTTCACCGTCCACCGCATCACTGCTGAGGAGGCCAAGGTAACGATGTTAAGCCCAAAATGTTACATCTTTTAAGTTTCGAGAAGTTACCCCCCCCTTTTGCTTTCATATAACCAGTCACCTCTCATTCAAACAAAGCATAAGAGGAAACACTGACATAAAAACAAACATTGTTATTACTTATTCCTTCTACATGACTCTGGTTGTAGTGACAGTGCTGAGATTTGGTTGATTTAAATTAGTCTAATCGTCATATGACGGCGTAGTGGGTTGTCCGTAGGTGTTCGGATCAGGGGGTCACAGGTTCAAACCCCACTGCAGTCAGCATGTCGTTGTGTCCCTGAGACACTTCACCCCAAATTGCTCCTGTGGGGATTGCCCACAGTATTGAGTATGTAAGTCGCTTTGGATAAAAGCGTCTAACAAATAACATGTAATGTGAGAAGGGGTTTAAGGATTTGGTTTTATGCCTGTTGCCAAAAGGATCAGAGCTGGGTTTCAAACTGGTTTAATCTCCTAAAACCTCTGGTGAAATCTGGTTAAAATCCTCTGCTGTGGGAAGAACAACAACAGCAGCAGTTTGGCATCGAGATCTGTTCCTTAGTTTAATAATAAGCTTTTCCTGGGGCTCAAAGTGCTTTACATGCAACTGCAGGCCAGGTCACAGGCTCCTCCAACAGTGCAACACAAACAATTATAATCTGGTGCAGAATACTCTATATACAAGAAATTGTAATATTGATATATATGAGTTGCAAACAGATGGATGTTCGTTCAAAAGTTCAGGTGTTTAACGGTCTTATGGCCTGTGGGATGAAACTATCCTGTAGTTGTTTCTCTTCTCACACGTGCGTTCTCCTAACCCTTCTCCCCTTCCTCTCGCAGTACAAGCTGTGCAAGGTGAAGAAGCTGATGGTCGGCACCAAGGGGATCCCCCACCTGGTGACCCACGACGCCAGAACCATCCGCTACCCGACCCCCTGATCAAGGTCAACGACACAATCCGCATCGACCTGGACACCGGCAAGATCTCCGAGTTCATCAAGTTTGATACCAGTAAGTCCCAGCCCCCCCCCCCCCCCCCCCCCCCCCCCCTCAAAGCATTTACCGGTAACACTTTAGATCAAGGTATTCACCATCAACTAATTGCTACTTAACATGCATATTAGAACCAAACTACGAGTTAGAAATGCATCATTTTGAGTTATTTTGACACAATGAACACTTGCTACACTTGTCTTGTTACATCAGAGTAGATCAGATCTGTTGGGTATTATTACGGGATGATTACTATTCTTGTGCTACTGCATATTAAGACCAAAACTCATGTACAACAACTTCCTAACTTCCTAACTTGTAATAAATAAACACAAATTAAAGGGTTATTGAGGAAAAACTCTCAACTAATGGCTTATTACTTGTAGAATATGGTCATGTAGAATAAGGCATTCGTCTGTCTGTCTATCTGTCTGTCTATCTATCATTAATAAGTGTTTTATACCGAGTCATAAAGAGCCAATGCACTGCTAATATGCATGTTAATTAACAACTAGTTAATGGTGAATATGTGTACGTTAATATAAAGTGTTACCCATTTATAGTACTTTGTCTATAGATAGAATCGGAGAGATGAAACCCTCTTTAATTCTCAGTTACATTTGACCTCTGCATTTAACCCATGCTACTAATAGGTGTCTATAAAGTTATTTAAAATGGAAACAAGCTCTAAGCAAACCTTTAATTTATGTATAACCCTACCTAGCTGTGCCCTAAGACTATTGCTAACCCAAGGAGCAATGATGATGTTTTTGGTTTTGATCAGCTCTGAAAAAACACTACCAATCCTCTAAGAAGTTCTGAGCTCCTTAAAAAAAGACCATTTTAATCAGAAATGCATCTTTACAACTTCACCTAGAAACAAAGACTACAAAATACCTTTTTTTATTGGTGCTTATTTGTGTCCCTTGCTTAAACTCAAACGGGTAACTTGTGCAAAGTTAGACATCCTAAATGTGTACTTTTGTTTTGAACGTAGTTTTTATTTCAGTCTCATTATACATGCATGATCACATTTTGGTCCACAGTTTTTCCATTTAGCTTTATCTACATAGCAACATAAGAAAGAGTACAAAAATAGATCAATAGAAATACTAATAAAATAGCAACGGTCTGTCTCTATCTGTCTCTCCGTCTGTCTATCTATCTGTCTCTCTGTCTGTCTGTCTATCTCTCTGTCTGTCTGTATGTCTCTCTGTATATCTATATCTATCTATCTATCTATCTGTCTGTCTGTCTGTCTGTCTGTCTCTCTGTCTGTCTATCTATCTGTCTGTCTGTATGTCTATATGTCTGTCTATCTATCTGTCTATATATCTGTCTGTATATCTGTCTGTCTATCTATCTATCTGTATGTCTGTCTGTCTATATGTCTGTCTGTCTGTCTCTCTGTCTATATATCTGTCTGTCTGTCTGTCTGTCTGTCTGTCTGTATGTCTGTCTATCTGTCTATATATCTGTCTGTCTATATATCTGTCTGTCTATATATCTGTCTATATATCTGTCTGTCTGTCTGTCTGTCTGTATGTCTATCTGTCTATCTGTCTATCTGTCTATCTGTCTATCTGTCTATCTGTCTGTCTATCTGTCTATCTGTCTGTCTGTCTGTCTGTCTGTCTGTCTGTCTCTCTGTCTATATATCTATCTGTCTATCTGTCTGTCTCTCTGTCTATCTGCTTGTCTGCTTTTGATGATCCTCCTAACATGGTTTCTCCAAACTACAGTGTAGTTAAGTCGATGAAAATCTCAGGTCCCAGGCTCCTCAAACAGCGCAACACAATAAAAATAGTGCAAGTAAATACAATACAATAGAATAGAAGTAGTGCCATAAGAGTCTAAATACAAGTGATACATAATGTGTAAGTTGCAAACAGGTGATTGTTCTCAGTTCAGATGTTTACCAGTCATCTTCACCTAGAAACCAAGACTACAAAATGCCTTGTGAAGTTGGCGCTCCCTGGAATAGTTGGACGTCCTGAATTTGTACTTTTGATGATCCTCTGACATGGTTTCTCTCCTCCTTCCTCCTTCAGGTAATCTGTGCATGGTGACCGGCGGTGCCAATTTGGGTCGTATCGGTATCATCACCAACAGGGAGCGTCACCCCGGATCCTTCGACGTGGTGCACGTTAAGGACAGCGCCGGCAACAACTTCGCCACCAGGCTCTCCAACATCTTCATCATCGGCAAGGTGAGGGCACGGAGAAAGACTGATGAGCTCCAGGAGAAAAGGAATAGCTCATATCCTCAGATTTCAGATCGACTTTGGGAGCGATGATGATGCTTTTGGTTTTGATCAGCACTGAAAAAACACTACCAATCCTCTAAGAAGTTCTGAGCTCCGTAGATAGAACATTTTCAACTTTAAAACGTACCTTTTTCTCAAACTCTCTGCCTTCTCCTTGACTTTAAATCATCGGAGGTCTCAGGGAAACATGAATGCTAAATGAAAACTAGGTTCAAGCACATTTGTACTCTATTTATAACCCCAACTAAGAGTATTGCTTACCCTAGAAACACTAAAGGAGACTACAATAAGACATTTAAATGTAATTTCTACTAACTTGTGTCCCCGCTTAATCTAAAATGGCTAATTTATGCGCGGTTGGCACTCCTTAATATAGTTTAACGTCTAGATCTGCTAAACCAAACCCAACAAAGGTCTGGATATTCAACGGCACAGTGTTTGAACACTTGATGAGCTGTGATATCAAACACATTGAATTATTTTAAGTACCTCTCCTGTGAGAAGTGTCTGCGGTGACATTTATTTTGACCACAGCTGTCGTTTATGTGCTGCGTGACATTTATTCCACGGTGCTTTTCCTCGCCTTGGAGACGCCATCGAGTGTTGAGCCGTCTCTCCCTTTTTATAAATACTGTTGTGTTGAAATGTCACTTGGCCACAATATTATCCTCCTGAAATCTTAACGGCAAAGCAATGAAACGACTACAAATGTTAATTAAACTGTATATGCTAATTATAAATGGTCAGGAATACCCGGTGTAATCATTCCCATTGTGGTGTTTCCAAAAGAAAAGAAAAGCACAAATCTTGACTTGTTTTTGGTCCTTCTTGGCTTGAAAGATTAAACGGCTAAATTATAAATGGTTGCCCAACAATATATTGCATTTAAATTCTCCCCTTCATGTATAAATCAGGAGTACAAGCTCCTGTTATGAATAGTTTTAGGATCTGTTCCTCTTCATCATCTAGTGCAGCCTGCATCAACATAAAATGAAGACTTAAGAGCACAAAACATGACTTTTCTGCACCAGTTTTTGACCATTTCCCACCTGTCTTTGACCATTTCCCACCTGTCTTTGACCATTTCCCACCTGTCTTTGACCATTTCCCACCTGTCTTCGACCATATCCCACCTGTCTTCGACCATTTCCCACCTGTCTTTGACCATTTCCCACCTGTCTTTGACCATATCCCACCTGTCTTCGACCGTTTCCCACCTGTCTTCGACCATATCCCACCTGTCTTCGACCATATCCCACCTGTCTTCGACCATTTCCCACCTGGTTTTGACCATTTCCCACCTGGTTTTGACCATTTTCCACCTGGTTTTGACCGTATCCCACCTGTCTTCGACCATATCCCACCTGTCTTCGACCATATCCCACCTGTCTTCGACCATATCCCACCTGTCTTCGACCATATCCCACCTGTCTTCGACCATATCCCACCTGTCTTTGACCATTTCCCACCTGTCTTTGACCATTTCCCACCTGTTTTTGACCATTTCCCACCTGTTTTTGACCATTTCCCACCTGTTTTTGACCATTTCCCACCTGTTTTTGACCATTTCCCACCTGTTTTTGACCATTTCCCACCTGTTTTTGACCATATCCCACCTATTTTTGACAATTTCCACCTCCATCCTGTTCCCTTTGATCCACACTAACGTATCACTATTTCCTCTCCTTTCTCCAGGGCAACAAGCCATGGGTGTCCCTGCCCAGAGGAAAGGGAATCCGTCTGACCATCGCCGAGGAGAGAGACAAGAGAATGGCCGCCAAGCAGGGCAGCTAGAGGACCACTGCCCCATGGTTTTCAAATAAACTGTTATTTACAAAACACTTCACTGGTCTGGGTGTCTTTTGTATTCAATACTAGGCTTCCTACACTCAGATACACATGCATGGGGGAGTTTAAATGCCTCTAGAGTCATGGCAGGGAAAATCTAATAATATATGAATATCTGGGTTTTAAGGTGACTGCTCCACTTCTCTTCACTATGTATTCTACACTCAAACTGATGGCTTTACTGTATTAAGACTCACGAGATATTGAGAGTGTTTTGAGGTTAGTCCAAATTCAGTCAAAGCTAGGCGATGACATCCTTTCTATTGATTTAAAGTTTTCTATATTATGTGCCCCGTCCTAAGTTTTAAGGTCAGTGTTGAACAACATTCAGCGTATAACAGTGTTTTCTTTAAAGGGGACCTATCATGCTAATATTAAAAATATCAATGCTTGTCTTTGATAAACAGTTTTATAAATAGAGTTGAAGTCAAGCTTGCTTAGCACTAGGGCTGTACCCGAATATTCGTTCGTTGGAGTACTATTCGGGTTTCAAATTCGTTTTTTGCACTGCGGCTGCCAAATTGAATTTATTGAAATCTCCAATATCAACGTAAGAGCTTGTGCCTCTTCGGGGGGTGCTAACACTTAACCATAAACGTTATCATTTACTTTCTCCGTCTTTATATGTAGATATGACTTTTCTCCGTCGCGTTGTATCCATAGCAACAACAACTTCCTGTCAACAGCACTAACTCCTTCAAAATAAAAGCATGTCCATAAAAAAATAGGAAGCCAAGCCAAATTACACTTAAGACATATACAACTGCAACGAAAGTAACAAACACAATGCAATATCCTTTTCAATTTCAAAGAACACAAATTGAGTTACATTCACAAATAACTATAAAACAACAATACTGTGTAGAATAACAATGAATGCCTCGAATAAACCGAAATACACGTGTTGAAGCGGTTCGCTGCTGATTACTACAGAATATCCGGAGCCCGAAAAATGTTATTCGGGACAGCCCTACTAACTTGGCACCAGAACAACTCTCAGTAATGCAATGAAGATAAATAATAATGCTATCCTAATAGACTTTAAAGACAAGCTGTCGGTGGTTCAGGTCAGTTGTATTCCTTGATAAGATGTCTGTACATGAATGGTTCCTATCTACTTAACTACGGGTGCTTTTGCATTGATCTGGTCAAATGAACCAGCTTTCCCTCCATGTTTCACCTGAAGCTCATCCTCATCTAATCCCTCCATCCTTTCCTCTCCATCCTGCACGCATCCATCTGTTGAGGCTCCTTAATCCCTCCCTCCTTCCTTTCTCCACTCTCATCCTCTTTGTATCCCATCCCCCCTTTTTCCCATCTTCCATCCTCTCAATTTCAACATTTGTTTCCTCCTTTCCTCTCTAGCCTCCTTTGTATTATCCCTATTCCTTACTCCCCTTTTTAAAACCCAAACTTCTCCCTTTATAGTTTCCTCATGTTTTTGATTCATCCTTGTTTCCTGACTTCTATATTTACAAGTCTGCACCCTTATTTACTTCATCTTTATTTACAACTATCCCTCCATCATTTAACTCCTTGCCCCTTTTCCCCTTGCTTCCTTGCTTTCCTTTCATCCTTTCCTATATTCTTATCTACATTTTCTCACACTTGTCCTTCCTATCTCCTGCTCCATCTTTCCCTCACTTCATTTCCAACCATCCTATATTGGCTTAGAAACGTCCTTCCTTACCCTCCTTTACACCCTTGCTTCC